GGGCCTCTGGTGATATAAATCATTTATCGGCTGCTTCCGTTTTGACCAATTTCTGTTGCCGTTTGGGCCACCTAGCTTATATTTTTCGATCATTTTCAGAACTCCTGACCACTTAAGGCCCTTCCTGTCCTTCACCTCAAGTTTAGGACTTCCTTACGAATTCCTCTCCCTTTGTGATACCTAAGTGAGCCATTTTAAGGTTCTACGCCTAGCGTTAGGTCCTAACCTAAAGTTAAGGCCCTCAAATCATCAAGGCCTAGTGTGTCCACAACACTTTCCTAACTAAATAGGTTTGGAGCATTGCATTTGAGAGCGGTACGGCGGAAGTTAGAATACATACCTACTTCATCAAATCACTCTCTGTTGATTCATCCACTCTACTCGGCCAAGTAGTCGGAGAGATGATTGTGTCTCGTCCAACCTGGTGGAGGAGGGGTTATTCTCCGCTTTCCTAACTGCAGAACTGCGCGTTAAACTCTTCCAAAACCACTTGATAATCGGCATGCCTCGCCAATTAGTCCTAGAACCACGCTACGGTGACAGAGTCAATATCACAGGAGGATAGAATCTTCCCGAGTCTATAACGCACTCACGACTCTTGTGAGTCACGAGTGTCCACATATGTCACGGAGGCCTGACTCACGGAGGCCTGTCCAACTTTCCCTTGCCTATGTTAGTTCGTATTAGATCGATAACCAGATTATTTCCGGATTGGCTCTTCGTATTTCCAGCTGTGTCCATCGATACTGTTAGAGTTTTTGTGATTGCTTTTTGATTATGTCTTACTTTGTTCAAGAGCCTTACCAGACAGAAGTCAGCATCTGTTGGATTCCCTCAAACTCTCATCGATCGGCTTTTCCCAGGTAGTGGAGGAGATCCCGGAAGTTACCGAGGAAACGACAGTCATTGACGAAGATCGTCCAACCGACTTGGTCCAGGAAGAGACCACCGTAACTGACGACTATGTTCAACCGAAAGAGGTACCCTGACCCAGGGTCCCTGGGCAAGCATTCCCTTGATGCCGACCTGTCAGGCTCAGGTGGTAGAAGAGGTCCGGGAAGTGCCAGAAACAACTGACAAGGCTGTGGTGATTGATGACGTTTATGAACAAGAACCAGAGGTAGGGTGCTGCAAAGGTTTCGTGTGGTAGTATGACTCTGTTGTAGGTTATAGGAGACGTCCAACCGGTCGCTGGTAGTGATGATGATGTCGTTGTTGATGATGAGACCACCATTATCCAGTAAGGCGGAGAAGTTCCTTTTGTAAATGCCCCACAGATCATTCGTTCACTGCACCGTTATTGCCCTCAGCAGTGTGTCAGCCGTTTCTATGTGTGCGTGACAATACAAATGCAGCTGTTGTGTTGTTGAATGCTCCTGGGTAGTGTGAATGAGCTATATTGTTATTTAATCTAATGTGGTCTAATTGGTCCGTGGCTGATGAGCCTGTGTGCGAAGATTCCCTTGTGTTCTCGAGGTATATCTATTCGGAGACCACGGTGGACTTGTTCTAAGCACTTCGTGAGGATTTCCGTATGGTATTTTGAGTACTACGACGAAGCGTAACGATTCCCGACTGCTACTTTCCCGTAAGTTTGCTGTGTTTTCTGTCCATGACCATCATCATCGACGACGATGACGGCTGTGTTGAGGTCAGGTAAGATGGTGAACTGTAGCACGAACCGTTGTCATGGCAGATCGTGGAAGAGGTCCAGCCCAGGTCGGAGGTCAAAGAGATCATCATCCGTGACCAATTTGGCAATACCGAGGTGAGCGGTCTCAGCCTGGTCGCTGATCCACTGCTGTACTTCTTAGATAATTGAAGAGGAAGTTGTCGCCGAGCCGTCACCAGTGTTCGGTCGGGAGGAAGTAATCATCACCAGAGAGCCAGAAGTGTTATGATGCCGACTTCACAGTTCTGGTCTTTGACGCTGTCAGGTTTACCTGGAGGAAGAACCAACAGTGGTGATTGAGGAAGAGGTGATTGTTGATGATAGTTTTACTACTGAGGTGCGTGCTTGGTCGGATCACGGCTACTAGAGTTGTTCTGTTATCCTTAGATCATCGAAGAGGAGTTCATAATTTGATCGTTTTCCGGCTTCAGTGTCGACGATATTCGCCGAGTCGTCAATTTTCTCATAGGCGCCAATCGTCAGGTTTTCCCATCAGACTATAATCATGTGGAGCTCACTACTGACCAAGGATGGTCTGTGAACCTCTGAGCTTTTTCCTAATCTCGTATCGTATCGAGTTGATTCGCCGGTCCGACTGACCACAGTTTAAGGTCAATCAAAGCCGTTATTTTAATGGAGCACACTGGTCACCCCACCTTCCTTACGCGGCATCCAACTGGGCCGAGACACTCAGGCAGTGGAGCGGTCAGTAGTGGCACAGTACCGAGGCTGTCAACGGAAGAGCTCTTTGCTGCGTAGTTGCGGTCAGCGGTTGCTTATGGGATCTATCATCAGGTACCATGAGTTCATTGTGAAAGCCTGCGAGGTCATCGCCCAGGCCAGGACCAGGGACCTCATGGGTGAACCCGTACCTTGTCGGAAGTTTGCATTGCTGGTGGGGCGAGGCGAACTGGTCATAGGGTTGGTGGAAATGGTCCTAAAGGTACCCGAGAAGTTCGGATGCCGGTCCTACCTTGACGCGTCGGACCTCCTTTTCAAAAATAAGATATCTTACACGTTGGAGGTCAAAAGGGTTGTCCAAGACGAGGATGGACTGGAGGGGAAGGCGACACCACCGAGGCGTCGTCGGAAGAGGCAGCAGCGCAGTGCGATTATGGAACGATGGTCTGCATCGAGGTGGAATCTTTGCTGTGCGCACAGTATCTTAGGTACTTCCATTTTACTCCTATCGACGACGAACCACCAGATGACCGTCGGCCGGAGTCCCTTAGGGTGAAGGACGAGACTATTCTGAGGAGAATGGCCGTGGCCCTCCGTAGACGGCGGGACCATGTTCCACCCGTCGTACTCTGTGTGTCTCTCAGGATCGCTGTATCCCCTGACACGGATACTGCCAGCCTTTACGTATTTTAAGGAGGCTGGTCTGAGCGCTGGTGTGAGTGGTGCGACTACCCCGCGACCAGAGATGCAGCAGAGGGACTGCCCAAGGCATCGGCATCTGGTACAGGAACCAGCACAGAGGGTTGAGGAGATAACTCCTTCAAGCGGTGGGAACCCGGCTAAGCTGCAAGTCTCGTTGTGGCACTATAAGCCAGCATCGGGGGAAGACGATGTCACGATGGTCACACCGGAGCATGACGTGGTGGGTCATGGCCAGCCGCTGGTCCTGGATCGGTCACTGTTCAGCTCACTGCGGAGCCTCGGGACCTGCCCAACTCCCCTGTGGGTGAAATATGTGCCCTCGGCTCGAGCGTTGGGACATTGCGGATCATTCTCCACCGGGAGCGTGAGCCTATCAGTTCCACTACGGGCATCACTTTTATCTTCAGGCGAGATCCATAAGTCAGCATACTGGAAAAAGAAGTGGTCTACGACCCCGAGAAGTATGTCCCCGGCTGGGCCCAGCTCCCGGGCTAGCAGTGGTCCTTCGTCCAGAAGGAGTTCAGACGAGTTTACTTTGCCCCCAGGGCCCCTCTCGGAAACGCCGGGGACTAAGAGCTCGGGCATTGGTATGCGTTCTCTGGCGATGTCCCATTGGGAAGTATCATTGTCCCAGTTATTGACGACGGGTTCTTTGGAGGTGTCGTGGCCTACCCCACGAGCTCGATGACCCCTCGGGTGGAAGGCAGCGGGGTGGCTGGTCTTGGGGACAGTGACATGGAAATGGTCATCGAAGACCAGTTTGGGAATAAGGTCTCACTGCCTGGTGAGATCAGTGGAGATGACGGGATTTCGGGTGGGTCCTGGTCGATGTTGGGACGGCCTCACCGTTTTTACTCAGGTAAAAACGTCACATTGCCTTCGTTGTACAGTCTAATTGTTGGTTCACCGACCAGTATGGCCTTCCTGGAGGATCCATACTGGAGTGCTGATCCCTCCTGGTTACAAGAAGCAGCGGATAAGGTCTGCGCGCGAAGCCCAGATATGGAGAAATGTCTGAAGGACCCACTGCTGAGCCTCCGTGGTGTATGGGCCGGCCATCTGGCCTCAGCGGCCAACTCCCCCGATACGAGTCCGATGCCGAGCGCTTCTCCCTGCCCTTGTTGTGGGTACCTGGACAATGCTGAGTATGAGGCCGATGACTTGGACTGGCCTGACGAGGAAGAGGAACCTGTGATGGGCACTATGTCGACCCAAGAGGGCTATTGGTCTGACGGCTACTGCGAGAGCGAATATTCGGAGGGAGAAATGCCGGATGCGGGAATCGAACCCGGGGTCGATCGACGAGATTCTACAGCACCTCAAGAGAACTGTGCTGCTGGTAGAGGAGCCCCTCTCCCGTTCGGATCAGTGGACTCTATGATGCAGTTTGTACTCGACCGCAATTCCCTAACAGTATCAGCTGGCCTGGTGGTCGACTCGGCTCGTCGGGTCCAACACGACCTGAGACACGCCCATTGATACGTTCGAGTTGTTGCTGCTGTTGTTGTAGTCGCCGTATAGCGCATTTCTGCATCGCTTGTACACTTGCTCATAATTTCCTTATTCATGTTTGCGTACCACTCCTGATTGAGTCCCTTGTTACTTGCGTTAGTTGTCTTCTATACAAATATTCAGGTTTACTCTAGTGGATTTTCCCCTCCTGGGATGGTAGCCCTTTAGCAGTCTCGTAGCCGTATTGAGATCGACGTTCCGGGTTCCGGCCGGTATTGGGTTATGGTGCCCTTCGTACCCGCAGCCTCGGGTACGCGTCCTCCCCTTCAATGGTGCCAACATATGCGGTGGTGCGATGAGCTACAGTATGATGTGGAATGGCCTCCTCCAGGGTCGACGGCCAGGTCCTCTGAAGTGGCCTTGGAAGACTTACTACACTGTCACATTGGAGTTCCCGGCCAAGGGCCGGCGCTGCGTTTCAATGCTTGGTCATCTAGGGCTTGGAGATCTGCCCTCTGGGACCAAGACGAGTATAATTCCGCTTGATGCGATTTCCCTGGCCTCTTCCCAGTAGGCAAGGCGTGTGGTGTAAAACCCGTAGATGTTGTTCCTATTGTACCCCAAACGTGAGGGCCCCAAGTAGGCCTTCTCGGTGTCCGAGTCCATGAGCAACATGCACTGTCTTTCTCGCGATTTTCATCAGGAAGACAAAGGGCCACCTGAGGAGGACGCTAGCCGTCCCTTGGTCGCCGACTTGGACGTCTACATCCTGCGGTGCATTGGATAGTACCAACGTCCCAACTTGGACCTTGTTGGGGGAATCCTGCACCAGTTGGCACCTGATTGAGCTCATTGATGAAAACTTCATGTCGTGCTTGAGTGCATTTGTGTTGTTTTTTTCTGCGGCGTGGCGATGATGGGAAGTGGTTCAAGTAGGACTTCTTGTTGCAATAGGGAGAGTTGCACTCCTGAGTGTCCGCTTAGGCTTGATGTAATGCAGTCGTCAAAGTACGGTGGGCGTATAAAGCTGCTTGGCGATGGGCGAGAAGTGAGTGTCCAGTGCAAGCCCTAGGAGATACCACTGACATACTACATGGACTTAAATGATGTTCACCAGATGGTCGTTGGCTTGGGACAAACACGGAGGATGGTCCCCCTGCATTTAGAGTATAAGAGGATGAAGGACCTGCAAGCGGGTTGAGACTGGACGCCTCAGTAGAGTGCCCTAAGTAGCATGTGCAACGTATGGTTTACGGGTGTGGTACCCAAACCTGCCCCGTGGAGTGCCTCAGTTTCCTGATCATTGCTACACTACTTATTGTAGGCCTTGTCGTATATTCTCGAATTTTCTTTATCAGCATGTGTAACTGCTGATCATCGTTCTTGCGCAGCTCCCATCTCCTCCATAGTGATGCTCTCTACCCTACGACTGACTGCCTCTTGGGCCCCTGTTGCCCTTGGCCGTATCGCCTCGACCCTATCGGCCCGGCCCGTCAGTGACCAAGTCCGTCTTTGCACCTCTGCTGCCGCGATCACTATGAAACGCCCGCCGCCGCCTCCAACAGTAACCGCTACGGCCAACCTGTGGTCCACTGCTACGTCCTGTCTCATAGGCACCTAAAGTCTCACTGCGTACTGAGCCCGCTGTCCACGACCACTGGTCCGATACGCCCAGTAGATCTGATGAGGTTAGGTCGTCTGATGCTTATGAGTTCGACAGCCGCGAAAGGGGACGCGGTGGAGGTAAGGGTTGGCGATAGACATTTTGAGATGCTCCGTCTCAGCCTATTCCCGTGGTAACAGCGTGAGCGACACTGAAGCCTTTGCTGGTAGTGGGCTCCAGCCGATCAACTGGCAGGTGGGCCCTAGTTGTTGGCTGTGACCTTTTTATTGGTCATTCAGGGAGAGGCGCTGACGCCTTTCACTAAAAAGTTTTATAAGGAGCATCCGGAAGTAGCAGCGTTCACTGATGAAGACTGTGCTGCTTTCTTGGCTGAGGCTGATATCACGGTGAGAACATTGGTGATGGCTTCAGGGTCAGGTCCTCGGTGTTGTGGTCAGATACAAGGTTCCCCACCTATTCCTAAACCCATAAGGACGTTCGAGCAGGGTCAGTTCCCTGAGGTGCTCATGAAAGAACTCGACAAGGCCGGTTACACTGAGCCCACGAACATACAGAAGATAGGTTGGCCCGTGGCCCTCTCGGGAAGGGACATGGTGCGCTCCTTCGTATGACAAGGTTGATCGATTATGAAATATTTCAGGTTGGTGTGGCACAGACTGGCAGCGGCAAGACCGTCGCTTTTATGCTCCCGGCCATCGTAGGTTCAGCTTTTGGTCGTTCCTGTATGAAAATCTGTGTGTAGATACACGTAAACGCTCAAGCGCCGTTGAAACACGGTGATGGTCCTGTAGTGTTGGTGTTGGTCCCGACCAGAGAGCTGGCCATGCAAGTCCAGACTGAGGCCACTAGGTAGGCGCCATCCAACATACCCTTGATGCAGTGATAGCCTCAGATTCGGCAAGATGGCTGGCGTTATGAACACAGCTATCTTTGGTGGTGTGCCTCGCTATAACCAAGCCAACGATCTCCGTCGAGGCGTTGAGATCTGTATCGCCACTCCAGGTGTGGTTGGCCCCTCGGCCATCCTAGTGGAGAATTTGCTTCTACTTCAGGACGGCTCCTTGACTTTCTCGAGACTGGTGTGACCAACCTCAAGCGCGTCACGTAAGTTTGTTTTCTGTGTACTACTTGCCTTCATGGCGTTCCTACGGCTTCAGCTATCTCGTGCTGGATGAGGCGGATAGGATGTTGGACATGGGGTTCGAACCCCAATTGTGAGCCAGATTAGGCCCGACCGCCAGACTACTATGTGGAGTGCTACCTGGCCCAAGGAGGTCGGCTAGGTGCCCAGTTCAAGTGGGTTCAAGTCCGTTATGGATAGGTGCAATCGTTGGCGAGGGACTTCTGTCGTGAGGAGCCTATAAGGCTCACTGTTGGCAACACGCAGTTGCAGGTGGGAGCTTGGTCGATGTAAGGGTGGTCGAATGCTGTCTGGGGCTCTCAGGCTAATCCTGATGTGAAGCAAAGGGTCGAGGTGGTCCCTGAGATGGACAAGAGACAGATGTTTTTCGACTGGATCAAGGAAACGTCGGCGACTCTTTGTGATGGGATTCGTCCTATTGCTACTGTAGGTATCCTAAAGGGAGTCGCATTATAGTATTCACTGAGACTAAGAAGGGCGCAGATGCTTTGACCAGGGAGATGAGGTGAACCGGGATAGGCTTGGCCCTCGTGAGCTCTTTGTAGGTACAACAACTTCAACGCAGCGTCTATTCATGGCGATAAGGAACAACGTGAGAGGGATAGGATACTGAACGACTTCAAGACTGGTGAGTCGCCTTTCCCAAGGTTGTTTTTCACGAGTGTCATCTCTTTTAGGTCGCTGTAATGTATTGGTGGCGACCGATGTTGCTCAGCGTGGACTTGATATTAAGAACGTTGAGTGGGTGGTCAACTACGACATGCCTAAGTGAGTCTCCATACAGTTGGTCATATCATCTCTGAGTTGGTTAAGGACCATCGAAGACTATGTCCATCGGATCGGCCGTACAGGAAGGGCCGGCGCTGTAGGCAATTCACTCACATTCATAACTAACGACACTCACACCCCTGATAGAGTGAGGATGGCCAAGGACATCGTCAAATGCATGGAAGACGTCAAACAGGTGATCATACGAGCCTTTACCATCTAGTCTCATCCTCGTTCCATCCCAGACACCCCCACAATCGCTGTATGACATGGCGTCCATACGTATTGCATCAGTCAGGGGATCCGGTGGTGGGAGTTTCCGGGGAGGCTTCCGTGGTGGCCGAAGATGAGACTAGTGATGGTGTTGTGGGTAACTTTTCTGTCGGTTTCAGAGACATTTTCATCGTTTCCGTCTTTCACTGTTTTCACTGTTGCTATTCAAACCATAGGCGAATCGTAATCATGCATAACCGTTTCATGAAGATACCGCCACAATGGGCCTTGGGTTGTCAGTAGCGGGACCGTTACAGCGGCTGGATGACTCTCTAACCCCGATAAATCTGTGTAACTCGTCAAACCTCACGGATATAGCGCACTTAGCAATGCTAAGTTAGCATATCTATAAATTGACGAGTTGAGACTAACAAGCCCGCCTCAATAGCGTGGTTCGAATCCTAGGCTGGTGGAGTTGCTCGGTCGGTCAATTGAGATGTTTAGCCTCAGTAGACAAAGCGGAACGATGGGTGGGAGCTCAAGGTTCCCAGACGGAGCGAAGAGAGGGCCTGCCTAGAATTGGCTTCCCAATTGGATGTATCACTTTTCAAATGTCCACTTTGAAGGCAACACAACAATTCTGTATATGTCTAGTCAAGGAAACTGAGGGATGTTCAACTCAGCAACTTCAGGCAGCACCGTGCGCATAAACGTGTCCATACTATTCAGCTGTTGAATAGCTCGCACCGTCTGTAGCATACGTGGGGGCGTAAAACAGCTTCGGATTCAAGTCGACAGCTCTGCAGCACACCACATCAAAATCAATCGAGCGACTTCCACGTACCTCTGCAAAAGATCCTCCGCCTCCTGGTTGCGCATCCGCGATAGATCATCCCATGCCTCACACATAATGATCCCACCGAGGTTCGCCAGAGCATAGCTATTCATAGGGTCCAGCTCAACAGCTAAACGCAGAAGTCGTTCTTCCTCGGACTGCGACCGTGCAAAAAGAGCAAGCCCATTGACCGCATACGAATTCTTCGGATTGGCGGCCTACAACCAACTCGCGCGATAGACCTTCAGCAACTTTCTCACGTGGGCTTCCTCATACAAGGCCTTGGCTCTCTGCCTATCTCGAGTAGCGTACATGACGTCGGCCAACCTCGTAATGAAGGTTACATCTGTGGGAAGCAGTTCTCATACCGGCTATAGTCCATCGCACAAACCTCGAAAAATCGATAGTGCCCGATTATAGCACTTGATGGCTGCCTCAAAGTCTCGTTCCTCATATGCTACCACTCCCTGATGAATTCAGAATTGCCGTTAAGTCGTTCCCGGCCTACTCACCTTAGAAGCCTCGAAGGACGCATGGAAAAGCTCTCTAGCAGACACACTGTGGATCTGCGTGGTGGATGGTACGACCCGACAAGTTCGGAGGCGAATGTCGGTCCAGGCCAGCTCAGAATCATAGACTCTATACAACTTACTGGAAGTGAGACCGAACCTGTCAGAGGAGCCGATGCGCCCATGGCAAGTGAGATGTGCTGACCTACGCAGCCAACGAGGGCACCGAGAGAAACTGCATGATGTAGCTCTGGAGGACCTCTACCTGAAGGACTCTGTCTACAGCAGACGATGAGCTGATGGCATCAGAGGTGGTGGGAGATGCCGCGCCCATCCTATTGGATAACAGAAATGGATAGGGGCCAACAGAGGGACCACAGCACTGGGAGCGGATTTCACACGAACACAGCAACTGCATTCGAATAAGAATCAGATGTAATAACCCAAGTTGTAACGAATGGGCCACCACTCGAGCAAGCCCGCTGTCAAGCAAATGAACCTTGAAAATAGTGAGCACAACGACCGCCGAGTCGAGAACTTCTACTCGAAGGTCGGCGTCAAGACAGAGGGCGCATGAGCATGTCACATACTGCTACGACCAACCATCGTAAACCAAACCTAAACCTTGGCGAAACGTATAGGTCTTTCAGCCAAGTTCTTGGCGGCACGCGCCATCATCTGACGCGTTTTCACATCATCAGGATTGGCCTCAGCCCACCGCATATGCAGCATCCATATACTCTTAATAACATGAACCTATCGAAGACCTCAATGAAGTGGAGGAGCTCCTAACGACATTTACCTGGCCAGGGTCTTTGTTCACAACCTCCTGTCCCTGCTGGGTCCACGTGGTCCAATCGGCCTCTAGTTGGGCTTCCTCCTGCTCGCCCTGAATCCACCCTTTGACGTCTTTAGCACCGGGAAGCCCTCGTTGAGCAAACGCCGCCATATAGGCCCGGAACCAGGAGTCCACAGCAGACCTTGCCGTATCGACATTGGCTCTGCCCAAATGGGGTATCAGCCTTGCCAGCGCGTAGAGGGAGGTCCAACCGTGGAGGACGAAGAACTCATTATCAGAGTAGTATAGCGCAGCAGCGGCCAACGGGATGAGTTGATCGGATACGGCACGCTGTAGTCGGTCGAAATCTTGAGGCCAATCTACCCTTTGCTTCAACAAGACACTGCGAAGCTCTGGTTTAGTGAGGAAGTCCGCTCGAGTAGTCCCATTGGGTAGTGGTAGCATCTCCGAGATCGCCGCAGTGAAGTTGAAGAGGACATCAACAGGGGAGGCACTCGAGACAGGGGCGACCATTGAAGCTTCCTCAGGATCTGCATCCCGCATAGTTCTAACGTGGAGGTAGGCCAAGCCCTCGGCCAGCAACAGACCGTTCTCCGCCTCCAACGCTACGCCCGTGAGAATAAGAGGATGGAATGCCGCGCCCCCAAGGCCTCTACTAACACGGGGGAAATGAGTGCGGACCACATCATCTACACTGGCGGCTTGCCTTACTTCCGAGTCGAAATACTTCAGAAAAGAGCCGTAGTGTTCCCTCTTGTTATTGATGTACTTCTCAACGTCACTAACGTTCGTTATCGACACATCCGGTGGAACTGCAGGGTCGAGGCGTTCTTGATACCTCATAAAGTCGTCAATGGTCTTGTTGCTGCCGGCCCCGGATCGCGAGAGGGAAATTGAGAGATAGGGCGAGTGATCCGAGAAGTAGCCATGGTACTCTATATTGTGCCGTCTGCCGTAGCTACAGAGGTCCCCAACAAGACTAGATACAGCTGTGACCGGTAAGAGGGTGTTGGGCTCAGTCGCCTCTACCGAGTTCCCAGCGACCAGGCATTTGAGAGCATAGAGGACCGCGAAGACGGCTACTATGATGACAAAGCCAATGACGATGTTCCGAAGACGCCTCTTAGGTTGACGTGAGGGGTTAATGAGAGGCAAGGAGAGCTCAGAAGGGTCGGAGCGCGGCATGTCCGATGGCCAACAGCTGGCATGGTCCCATGGGGGTTATTGAAATACCAACTAGATACTATATGTGTTGTAGAAACATTCATCGCATATGTCTCTGCCGCTCAGCACTTGTCATCGTCGTCAACATTTTCACAACATCCTCTACACGAACACCCCGGCCCTTCACTGCGACCTGAGTCCAAGCAGCTCTTCACCGTCTGATAAGCCACCAACAGTACCTCGCCTTCCTCAGGCTCGCTCTTGGTCGCTGATGGTGCCGTTGGTCGTATTGGCACTGAGCTCTCCTCGACAGCATCCTGGGAAACCAATAGCATATCCCAACCCACTAGGCTCTTCCTTGACCTACTATAGTGTTGCTAATGACCTTATCCATCGCTCTGTTGTACAGGTCTATTTTCCTCTCCATCTTCTGCCGTTTTACCTCAGGTGCCTCCTCATCACTTTTGGCCCTCTCAGCCTCCCGAGCTTTCCGTTTACTCACATTACTCGAAATTGTAGTCTCCCCTGTAGGCCCGGCTTTATACCTTTCCAATACATTCTCACCAAAGACCGACACGTATGATTGCTACTCAGCTCTCCCTGGCAACTTCAGCATCTCGGGCACTGCAGCCGGGCTCATGTAGATATGCGACCCCGGCGCTACACCCAACTGAAATAGATGGTCAACAGCAAAAAACTGCCGTCATTTTACCAAGTAGAAGTCCCTATGCATAGCAGTTTGAATTTGCTTCAACGTAGTTATGAGATTGCTCATCTTCTGTAGGAGTGCCTCCCAGTATCTGCCAGCGTCATCGAAACAGTACACACCGTGCCGTTTTACGCCTGTTTCTGCAGCGTCGACGGCTCGGTCTGCTGTGGTGCCCCACTGTCCCCTTCAATGTCGAAGCCGGCGCCGGAAATCTGAGCTGGGGAGTCTTCATCGGACCATGCTTCCCTTAGCCTGACTACTCGTGTGATTGATAATAAGTCCATCCTGAGAAGCTGGTCACGGAAAGTATTGAGCTTTTTCTGCAGCATACGGAGATGTGCCAAATACTCTCGGGAGTCCATCACGTTATGGTATGAAAATGGTAAATAAAGCAAACTATTATGAAAACACTTGAAGACGACGGCCCCTGCGAAGAGAAACCAGTTCCTATAGTGAAAAGTGGTGCTTTATCTTTGTTGTTAGTGATACGTATCACATCCTGTCAATGCCTGCAGTACCTAAATATCATCAACTCAACAGATCACAAGAGAACAGCAAACAACAACAATATGAACATGTTTAAGACAACGTGTTCAACACAAACAGAGTCACATCGTGCCATTCAGTGTGTAGCCCTTCAGATAAGATGGCCAGCCACAGGCCACAGCGTGTATGAGTACTATGGCCTTACGTTCCTTCAACAAGCCCGACTCCTCCTTGTCCCATGTCAAGCCGAATTCCCTAGCTTTCTGCGGATAGAGGTAACTGATCGTCCGACCATACTCCTGGAGTTGTAGTGTTCCTGAGGCCTGGAATTCGTATTGGTCGGAGGAAGCGCTTATCCGCTGGAGTGCTTCGACGTCGAAAGACGCTTGCCTGAAATGCTAAGTGAACAAATGCTGGGAAGTAAGGTCACCTTCTGGGAATGATTCCTTTATTGTTTTGGTACAGTAGGAAGATCCGAAACCTTTCACTACTCTTAACGAAAGTAAGATCGACCCTCAGGCAAGGCTTTCCCTGAAGTGTAAGAAGTGTGGTAAAACTGGAGAGCACCGGGGTAGTTAAGGCTACTTGTTCGCTGAGTGTGAATATCTGATAACGAGACCATATGCTGTTCTTCTGAGAGCACTTTCCTGTGGTCGGTAAGGGACTTTTTTCTGCGACAAGTAAACCTTGTGCGTTGTTATGAAGACCATAAGCCACCAAAAGCGGCGCATAAACTTCCGGCTCCTTTCGGTAGAGCTCCAATATTCGGCTGTACGACCCTTCTGCCCCAGCTGGCCGTTGGGTCGGATGCTCAGCAAAGTACGTGGCCCACTTGTTCATCGTAGTTGCAACGTCGGTACTCGATGAGAGCCTTGGAAGTCGCTGAGCGATGTCGCCCAGATAAACGTAATGTGTAACGGTTTGATACTCTGCGGACCCTTCCAGAGAATTCCTGAGCACGACGAAGATAAGGGGTGAACCCATCGGAGCATAAGCTCACTCGGTTGTTAAGATAGAAGCATAATCTGGTTCAAGGTACCCCGACTGTTTGCCGACGCCCACTGATGCTCCTACCTACACAAGAGTTCGATGCTAGAGGCTCAGGGGCACATACTAAACTGGCTATAGTCAATGCTTGGGAATCCTCCAAGATCCTGTTGGCGAAGTCATTTTCGTCGAATGTCCAACTGCTATTTCCAATGTGAGTTGGCCAACCCCAGAGGGAGGAAGCAAGGAGATTCTGAGAGGGCGCAGTAGAAGGGAACGATGTGAGCTGCCGGTGGGACCTGTTTAGAAAATTTCTTCACCTTGGAGTCGCCGAGTCCACGCCTAGCAATGGTCACCACAACAGGGAATGCCAATAGACGATGGAACATGGAAGAAGAGAAAAGCCCAGCACTCTACGACGACTAGGTCTATGCAAGCCAGAACCATAAAGCTCAAGTTCGTCGGTATGTGCCGTTAGTGGCAGGGCCACTACCGCTCACGGAAGCATTTGAGTTGCTACTTACGGAGAAGGCCAAGTCATGGAAGACTTCGATTCATAGTGTCGCCTATCTGAGGACCTACTCCTCATAGTAGTTTACGAGGGTAGGACCGGAGACTTCGTCGCAGAGCCGAGTAGCTTAGGAACTGTCTCTTGAGCAAGAGACGGTAAGGATTGGGAGACGTGTAGATCTCGCTCGCCCATGAATTCAAAGGCACGTAAATACAAAAATGTGCACGGTTGAATGTTGGTATGATGTGGGTATTGCAACGACGCTCAAGAGTTGAATATGGGGTTCGAATAGCGCGATCTGAGACAGAGGTTCCAACGCGGGTCAGCGGAAAAGAGAGCAGACATGGGATGAAATGGACCAGCTAGAATGACTGTCGGCACCATCGCGCAAGTATCGACTACGCTCGACTAAGTGTCTCGAGTGAGATATGCCGAAATCAGGTGGAATACGCCTTAGGGTCATTCGTACAGTAGCGTCAGAATAGGCGGCGTTTGCATTGTCGCGAGCATGTGGGAGTGCTGTTGCACGAGGACCTCTCAACTCGATGAATAAATGATACGAGACGCTACGCTATGAGATTCAAACTTGACGGTGACGAGTTCGGAAGGCGCTACATCGAGGCCTAGAGAAGGGAGGGAGGCTATTCATGGTGGTTGATAATAGTGAATCTCAGTGAGAGCTGCACAGGGAACGTGTGTAGAATATGAGCGTGAACGCAGACTCATAAGGAAAGGGCGCGAGTGTAGGTTTTTCCGGAGACACCTGCACACAATCTGCGATCCTTGGCTCAATGTATAACAAACTATACTGCTGTGTTTATCATGCCTCCTAAGACCAAGGCCGATCGCGAGTGCGTCGGCGAGAGCCAATCCTTGCCGAACTTTTATGCCCACATGAGCGCCGTGTGTATTTTCTCCTCGATGGTCAGCTTTCTTGCCAGAAGAGCTCTCGAGTTGGTGAATACCAGGGTTTAATTTTTCATTACAACCTTAGTGTATAATATGGACGTACTGAAAGGACCGTATGATAACAATGAAATGAATTTGCATGTTCATGGATCTAGTTTGTTACCGAGAACACGGGCGCAGATCGTACCAAAAAGCTGGAGCCATGTAAGGAAACCACAATCACTGTCACGATCTATGCGGAAGACCTCAGGAGATCGTAGACGCCCTTTACTCGAGGTGTCATGGGATAAGCGATGACTGCAGGAAAGGTTGCTGGAGGCATATCAAAGTGAACTCACTACGGAAAGACCACACCAGGACATTTTTTCTCAGTCCGTTGGGACAAACTCTGAGCACACCCTGTCTGGTAAGATACAACTCTGAGGACGTCACATGGGAATTCAGGTGCGAGGAACTACAAACAAGAGCGGCTTGAAAACGCTAAAAATAAAGTTGAAAGTAATTCTCTTCTAATCGCATTTCGCAAGTTTCGTTCTGGTCAGTTGATCGAGACTGCTGTCGGACATGTCGTCGTTGCGTTGAATATGAACAGGAACTTCGCCATAAAAACCTCAAAGTGAGCCATCCACAATCCACCACAGGCTCGTATACATTTCTAGTAGGCCGAAGTCAAGCAAGAAAGCGATAGACGGAAACATGGGAGCACCATCATGGGTCGCCTCGAGGAAGTGAGAGAAAGCGCCTTCATCGGTGAGGAGTAACAACGACAATCTGAACCACGACTATAACGCTCAGCTCGACGACCTTCATATAACCCCCATATTGCCACGTCTCCCATGATGCGTTCATGCGCAGCATTCGCTCTCCTTGCCCCGGCAGTATTCTCTTCAAGTAAAGACATTGCCGGCATGAGAATCGTCATGGCATTTATCAGACGTTCGGGTGACAGAAAGTGAACTCCTTATTGCGAGTGCTGTGAAACTGCATTACGTGATTCGAGGAATAAATCGACAAATTGCCAAGAGACGGCATCTTCTCATTGGCGTAACACCACGGGTGGATCCGTCCAGGTTCGAAATTGTCCTCCCCAGGTCGCCCCTCCGCTGGTGGTCAAGTCAGACCACTCGGATGTAGTTGACCAAGACCGGGGAAAGTACATCGCTGCAAGTGTGGGCTTCATCTGCTCCGTTCAGGCTTTGGTACGTGTCCTACGCTGACTTTTGTCATATGCTCTACACGAGCGGTGTTAATTGGATGACTATGGAACAGATGAAGGGCGCATTCAGGTGGGGATAGAGGTAACTTATCAGGTTCTCGAAGTGGTACGTTCAGAGGCGTCGATTTGAACCAATCGGGCGGCCTCCATCTCACCGAGTTAGCACAAGCCATCGCTGCCACTGACCATGATTGCAAGCAACTCTTGAATGGTACCATCCCCCCTGAGGAGTTTCTAGAGAGCGTAAGCTATACTAAAGATGGCTTTCTCTATGTGTTTCATGTAAGGTCCTTGCAGCGAGCGAGACGGTGTCAACTACGCCTCGTCGAAGTGCGTACGAGTCACATCCTGTCACGCTGGTAGAGCAGATCGAATCACTCAGAAAGCACAATTGACATTTACTCAAACTAAGCTGATGTATCCCATGTGCTTACGCATTTTAACAGAACGTCTTTGCCCGATATTGTTTGGTGGAGTCTTACTTTTAGAGGAGTATGCGAACCACTAGTTTGAATGCTTGTGTGTGGGCTATGCTGGAGGACTCGCTCCTACGATCTAATGACCTTGTACATGCTTACTGTCCATCTGTGTACCAGAAAGCATCGCATGGTGCATTTTCGAGACTCTCATGGCGTATCGGATAATCGGAGTGCGTCGGACTCGATCTCCTCTGATAAGCAACTTCGAGTTTTCGAGCTTCACCGTGAAGCTTGTTTCGGTCGTTGGACACATCCCCGCGGTGAAGAGTGGATCCTGTCGGGAGGGAATGAGGTGGTCTGGTCTTCTCCTTCTGTGCGTTCTGCAGCGTTTCGAACTAACTGAATAATACGAGTTAACAAGTTAACACAAGTTGAATATCGATACGAAGGGCGTGTCACACCGTGCGCACTGGTAGTACGCGTGTGTATCATCCGTGGTGCGACCACTATCCTTGTTCAGCGTGCGTAGCGAAACGGCTCGTGCGAGCGTACATCATCACGACATTACGAAGGCAGCCGGCGCATGCCGTGCTTGACTTATTTCATCCCAGCCCACTACTCCCGGGAGCAAGCATCGGTCGGTCGACCGGCGACCCGCGCGGCGCCGATAAAGGCGCCCGTCGGACTGACTCGATGCTTCGAGGGCTGGAAGCCGCAGACATCTCCTGCCTTCCAGCCCACCAGACCCACGCGCCCAGGAGTGGAATATTTAACGCAACAAAGAGCTCATCAAGTGGCTAGCACATCGGCACCAAGTCTAACCAAACGGCGACGACGTTGGACTTTAACCTGACACACGCCGTGAAGCTATTTTGTTCTTGTCGAGGAGTTTGTCTTCAAGTCTCGGAATTTAAAAGACGAGCTGTCCCAACGGTTTCATGCCCTCTCCCAGAGAGAAGCCTCGTGTCGAGTGGTTGAAATATGTGCGCCTTATTGTCCAGTTTCAGAAAAGACGTAGTTCCCGATGAACATAATTTCGAGTCTGGAAAGTGGTTTAGCTTTGACAGCAGTGACACTTGAGTTTCCAAAGCGCGTGGTATTTCTGGATGCTTCCATCGACTGAAGTCTGGCAGTATGGAATTAGTTGTTCGTCAATTTCCACAGGACTTATGGGTGGGTCTTTACGTCATTACTAGCAACTCAAACCAGTAGAGTGTACAGAGAAACAGGATGTGAACGTTGCTTGAATAGCTCTTCATCGCAAGCAGTACATTTTCACCGGGAAGAGATCCTAATCAGTAGAACACTCAGAGAAGCAATTCACCCCACACCTTACGTCTGGCCAGTGAGGTTGTATCATTTCCAGCACTAAGCTCAGCCCTGCTCGTGCGAACAACGTCTTGTACTGGGAGTCCGTGCGAGTGATGGAGTTGTCGTCTTTATCGACCACGAACTTACCCTCAATAACCACATTCTCCTTCACGACTACTACGCCGCCCTAAAACAGATCATAACTGTCACAAGGACTGTTAACAAATAATAGAGGCGAACACTGCAGAACTCTAGAGCGTCTGGAGTGAAGCAACCCCCCTGACCTTGGGAGCTAAGGCAGCCTTGCAACGCTTGAGATACGCTACGAGGTCCTCATCGGTGAGATACCTAACAGGAAGCAAACCCAGTGCGCTTTCATCATAGCTCTCATCAACGAGCTACAGGAGACACCATTGGTTCCATATCATATCATAACGACCAAGCTCTGGGTTGAAGTCTTGAACACCCATTTGCAAGAACCTATCCAAAGGGCGTTCACGACTGTGTGAATGGGGAGCTCCTAGCGCACCTCTCCACATGGCAAGGTGCAGTGGCGGCAGGACTGAGAGTCTTCCTGGCCGTATCAAGGAGGTTAGCACAAGGTTCGACGAGATCTATCGTTTCTGAAACGGCAACATCAGCGCCACATACATCAATGACAGTTCCTCACGGAATCGCTGTGTCAAGACTTCCCGACTGACTCGCCCGATTCCAGCACCGCAGTCCACCACAGTGCGGAACCTGGAAAATCACTCAGTGAATTAGAAGTGCTCAAAAGTTGGTATACATCGGGGGGTTGGGGACTTTTCTCTCTATCGTATCGAGGAACTTGAGAGAGCCCATCACGTCTGTTGGCGACAGCCCTTCAAAGCCTTGGAGGACCTATTAAATTGAGATGCCAGCCTACGTACTCGCAAGCAATAGCCTCACCCCGTCATCGGAAGAAGGCTGATTCTCCCAATAGGACACTGCCTTACCGTACCACTCATCAGAGCCAGCAGAAAGCTTCTCGCTCCACATATCTGTCAATGAGTTCACTTTCCAGGTTGAGAAAAAAACAGTCGGTTACCTTGTAGACTGCTGAATTTGCGACCATCAGTGTCTTGCCCTCCCTCTAACATAACGTTATTGCTATTGTTATTCATTTTCGAACTTCTGGCGTATAGTACACGGCTCAATAGACGACTCGACACGCGAGTGAATTGGAAGGAGAACAATAAGTGTCTTCAGACTGCGAAAAGAATACCAAGGCAAAGAAGATGCATATCACACAGAAACGCCACACACCAAGCACAGTCCCCGGGTAGTAACCTTGGAAGAGATGACGCCCGTCCGAGACGAGTCATCCTAGACTTGAAACACGGTCAGACCCGCCTCAAAGAGAACGAACCCGAACGCAAGCGGCCGATAGGCTGAAATTAGTATCACCACGTCAAGTTGAATCTCGCGATTAAGGAGATGGCACACGTTTGGACAGCATATTGCCGTTACGGTCTCGCTTTCCAAAATGAACAGAAACACCGTCCATAATTTCATACAGCAACTTGCGAACATCCTCGATGTAATCCAAGGCAGACAGCTCGAGGCCTCGACCATTGAGAGCCTACGGAAAATGCTCTCCAATTTAGTGATGTGTTCTCACCTGTGCGTAGATGTCCATTGTCGTATCGATCGCCGTCCGAACACCCGTACCGAGGATGACCCCGAGGGCCTCAGAGACTCGTATCG